TGGTGAGTCTCCTGTTCTTTACTGGAAGTGGATCCCAACCACCTCCAGACCAAGTTGTTAGTGAGGCAATGATGCACTTTTTAGAAATAATCTTTTTATTTTTTATTTTTATCTCAAAATAAAAATTCACATATAGTTGAAAGAAATAGCAATTACAGATTCACATATAATTGAAAGAAATAGCACAAAGAGATCTGCTGCTCTCTCCAGTTTCCCCCAATGGTAACATCTTGAGAAACTATAGTACAGAATCACAACCAGGATACCAGGAATTATACAGTTAAGATACAGAACATTTCCATCAGTGCAAGGATCCCTTATGTCGCCTTTAATAACCACACACCTATTTCTTTCCCTTCTCACCCTCTCCTTAGCCCCAGGCAACCACTGATCTGTTCTTTCCATTTGTTTAATTTTTGTCATCTCAAGAATGTTATATAAATGGAATCATATAGCATATAATCTTTGGCTTTTTTACTTAACACAGTTCTCTGGAAGTCATCCATCCAGGTTGTTCATATATCAATAGTTTGTTCCTTTTTGTGGCTGAGTAGCACCACAGTTTGTCTAGCCACTCACCAGTTGAAGGGTTGTTTTTGACTATCACAGAGCTACTATAAACATTCATGTATAGGCTTTGCTGTGATCATGAGTTATCAATTATCTGTGACATATTGCCCAAGGGTAACTGCTGGGTCATGGTAGCTACATACTTAGTTTTTTAAGAAACTGTGAAACCAATTTCCAGAGTTAGTTACGTTCCCACCAGTAATATATGAGTGATCCAGTTTCTTTGCATTCTTATCAACATTTGGTGGTGTCATTTTTTTTTTCATTTTAGCCACTCTGTTAGATGTGTAGGATTATATCATTGTGGTTTTAATTTGAATGTTCCTGAGGGTGAATGATGTTGAATGTTTTCTCATCTGTCAATCCTCTGCAGTAAAATGTCTCTTCATGTCTTTGGCCTATTTACTATTTTTCTTTTTTGTAGATTCCTTGGGATTTTCTACATAGGCAATCATGTCATTTGTAAAGTGATAGTTTTATTTCTTCCTTTTTCATCTCTGTATCTTTTATTTCCCTTTCATGACTTATTGCTTTGGCTAGAACTTACAGCATTATGTTAAATAAGAAGAGTAGAATGCTCTAGCTTGTTCTGATCTTAGGGGAAAAGCATTTAGTCTTTCACCATTAAATATGTAGAATTGTTTGTAGTATTTCTTTATTATCTTATTTATGTTTGTAGACACAATAGTAATATAGTGTTTCATTGCTGATGTTGGTAATTTGATTTTCTCTGTCACTCTTGCTAAAGGTTTGTTCATTGAAAAAAATACTGTCAAAGTACCAGCTTGTTTCAGTTGCTTTTCTATATTCAGTTTTCTATGCCACTGATTTTTGCTGTTTATTATTTCCTTCCTTTTGCTTGTGATGATTTATTTTACTCTTCTTTTTCTAGATTCTTGAGGTGGGAGCTGAGATTATTGATTGGAGAGTTTTCCCTTTTTATAATGTATGCAATTGGTGTTATAAATTTCCCTCATGCTGCTTACTAGTGTCCTACAATTTTGATATGTTTACTTTCATTTCTCTTCAGTTCAATGTATTCTTGTTTCCTTTGAGACTTCTTTGATCCATAGATTATCTTGAAGCTTGTGCTTAGTTTCCAAGTGTTTGGAGACTTTGTTGTCATCTTTCTGTTACTGATCTGTAGTTTTATTCCTTTGTGGTCATACAGAAAACCCTCTGTATGATTTTAGTTGTTAAAAATTTGTTGAAGTTTGTTTTGTAGTCAAGGATATGCTCTATTTTGGTATATGCCTCATGGGCATTTGAAAAAAATGTATGTTCTATTCTTGGGTTGAGTGTTGTATAAATGCTAATTAGATTCTGTTAGTTGATGGTGATGTTGAGCTCTTCTACATTCTTGTTGATTTTCTACCTAGTTGTCTTATTGATTGTTGAAAAAGGGATGCTGAAGTCTATATTTATAAATCTATCTATTTTTCCCTTCAGTTTCAGTTCTGCTTCACTTATTTTGCAGCTCTGTTGTTTGGTGCATACACCTTTAGGATTGTAATGTTTTCATGATAGAGTGACCCTTTTGGCATATCCCTACTTTTGGTGATTTTCTTTGCTCTGAAGTCTACTTTATCTGATGTTAATGTAGACACTCCTGCTTTCTTTTGATTTTTTGCATGATATATGTTTTTCCATCATTTTACATTCAATCTGCCTGTATTTTTATATTTGAAGTGAGTTTCTTACAGACAGCATATTATTAGATTGTATTTTCTAATCCACTTTGTCAATTTATGTTTCAGTTGGTATAGTTAGACCATTTACATTTAATGTAATTATTGCCATGTTAAGGCTTTGGTCTGCCATTTTATTTGTTTTCTGTTTTTTCTCATTTTGCATTTCAGTTTTCATTTTCCTGCTGTTTGATGAGTTATGTAAACATTTTTAAAATAATTCCATTTTGTCTATAGTGTTTTTGAGTGTCTGTGTATTTTTTAATGCTTGCCTTTTATTTATACATATATTTTATGTACACATACATATTTCATATATATACATAATATCACATTCTATTTGTGTCATCATTTTGCCAGTTCAAGTAAACTTACATCCTTTATCCTCTCTCATTCATAATATTAAACATTACCTCCTCTTGCATTTAGATACATAACAGCAGGAATAGGTGAGAGATGAACTGTTCTTTTGTTTGTTTAATGTGTTGTTTTGGGCTGGCAGAGAAGTTATTGCCAAACAGTTTTCTGTCTTGCCTTTTCCTGGTCCTTCAGCTAGAGACAGTAGGCTTTTGGGACTGTTTTTTGGATGAGGTGGGGGAATCTGTATCCCTTAGCATTCTGGGTCATTAGCTTATTCAGCTCCAAATTTGGGATATATGACACAAAAAGAAAACTTGCCACCACATTGCTCCTTGGGTTCCAAGGTTCCTAGTCATTGTGTCTTCTCTCTACTATTTAGAGTCTATGTTTGTTTTATATATAATGTCCAGGGTTTTCAGTTGTACTTTTTACTAGAAGGAGGGGGATGTATATGTACTCTATATTCCTGAAAGCAGAAGTCCTGATGCATTGTTTAAAGCTGGCTTCAGTTTCCACATTAAAAAAATTTTTTTCTCTGTGAAATAGACATCACCCTAGAGTCCTTCAAAAGAAATGGAAAACAAGTATTCTGTAGTAGACAAAATAACCAAAATATTTAAACCATCTTAATCTACCCACTAAGATATTATGCCAGGAGTAAAAAGCTACCTCTGTTAGTTAGAAATGCAAGAAAATGGTGTGATGTGAACATGGTGATTTCATCCATTGCTGAGGCATATCTCACTTATCTGGGATCTGTGTGGCTAAAATCTGCTTGTTCATCTCTGCCTGCCCCACAACTCTCAACAACTCTGCACACCTTCTCCACTGTCCATTAACCTCGCAGACTCCATTTCTTTCCTTCAGTGATTTCACCTCCTTTTCTAAGGCAGAGCACATGCCATGTGACAGAAAGTACCTCAACTTTCAGCCCAAATTTCTCTCACCAATGGCTGTTATGGCCACTTTATGTGAATTACAAAGAAGTATCCTTTCCTCAAGGTTCTTTACTACCATCTGCCAGGAAATAGACATAATTACTATTCAAAGTGATCCTGTGAATCTACATGTGCCTGCACCTCTTCCATCTACCTTTCTCAGGATTACTACCTAAGGTCAGTCCCCTCACCTGTGCTCTGCATACCTCTTCTCCTTCCATCCTATCTTCTTAAGAATTGTTCTTATAAACTACTCTTGGGCATGGGTAAATTTGGTCATGGGCTGACCAATGTAAAAAAATCCCTGGCTCCTTCTAATTAATATTCAAACAAAAGTATGTCTCTCCAATCTTAATAAAAATGAAAACATTAACAGTATCCTTCCAGTATCCTTCTCATTTCTTCAGTTAACTTCCTGAAAGGCTTGTCTGCTTATTTAAATCTTTTTCCTCTCCTTTACCCTCACTTACTCAACTCACTCCAAGCTGGTCTCCTCCTGCCATTCCAATTAACCTGCTCTAGCTAATGGCAATGCCTGTTTGGCTATGGAATGTCTCACTACCACCTCACTAATTTCTCATTATTTGACCCAGTTACAACCCTTGATGCTCTTCCCTTGCCTTTTGCAAAACCATATTCTTCTGGCTTTCTCCTAAGGCTATCTGCTCTTCTTCTTCCACTACCTTAAGTAGGGGAGTAACTGGGTGGCTGTCCTGGGCCTCTTTCCCAAATGGTATTCTTTCCACCACGCAATCTTTTCCATGCTCCTGCTCCATTCCATGCAGGGATCTAAGAAACCGACTATCAGTTCAGGCTTCTCATTTGTATATCTAAACAGGCACATCCCACAGCCTCTTGAGCTTCTTCACTAGAGGGTCCACAGCTCACATGTCTAAAACTAAACTATTCCCATAACTGCTTCTCCTCCTGTGCTCCCTTCCAGCATGTGGTACCCTGACATTCACCCAGCTATCAGCCTGGAAACCACCCAACTCTGCATATTCTACACACCCAACCTACTATCTCAGATCTCCCAACTAACTCTTGATCCCTCCCTTGATTCACTAGACCCAAGCCCTAGCCAAAGTAACCAAAGTCGATGCCACCAGACCAGCTGGGCCCATGTGCTAAGTGCTTCATGCTTCAGAAACCTCTGGGGAACACTCTGCGGGCTCCGTGTGGTTAAGCCTTCAGTGTCCATGGCTTTGAATATCAGGAGGTGCCAGAGACCAAAGAGCCCCCACCCACAAAATGGCGAACTCCCTGCTTCTCTTCCGGGTTCTCTGCTCCCGCCAGCGCCAACCAAAGCCCAATCACCCCTTTACACCTTCCCGCCAGCGTCACCTAAGGTCCAATTGCCTTTTGACCCACCCCTTCCTTGCTGACCTGTATAAATTAAGCCTACAAACAATAAACTTGGCCAGCTTGATCAGACATCCTGTCTTGCTGGTCGTTCTTCGTGTCCCATGCTTGTTTCATTTCTGCAGGCGTCTCTGGCACACTCCACGTTCGTCCCGCGGGCCAGGACAAGGAGGAAAAGCACAGAGTTGGTCCTATCCACTGGCTTCTGTCGCACAGCACGGTATCTAACAGAATAGGAGAGTGAGAGACAGCAGGCAGCCTGTCTTCGGGTAGCCTGGGGCTGAGTCTCTGAGACACGACCCTATTCGCCACACACAACATGGGGGCGATCTGGAGCCGCGCCCAACTTCCGTTTCCGGTGCTGAGGCTGCGTCAGTTCCCTTTCAGTCGCCCCGCAGCTTCCTGGAAGGTAGGAATATGACGAGGCCTTACTCCTTTCTTCTTCCCTGCAGCTCAGCGGGACCGCGCAGTGACCCCAACTGTGGGTGCGTGGGGAGGGGCTACTCTGAGGCGGGGAGGGACGGAGTATGGGGGAGGTGCACGCGAGGCAAGTCAGGCAAGTTCATACTGAAAACCCGCCCAGAACTGGTTATTATTGGAAGTGGCAGGCGCAGTGTATGGGCAGCGACGGTGCTAGTAGCCAGGACTTCATCGCCCTAAAATGTGTGTGTACGGAGAGCCTCGGCAGCCTGAAAACCACTTTCCTCTCCTTTGATACTGTTTTTTAAATGGGCCCAGCCACCACCCACACCTGCTGCTTGTAACCTTTCCTCCTGTTTATGAAGTAATGTGTCCAGCAAGAGAAGAAATTTTACTGGCTTTCATTGATAGCAGGCACCATTCTTAACTCCTCTCACCCTTTATTGAAGTGGCAATGAAAACCCAAGTGCAGAAAGCACTATTAAAGGGGCTGAAAAGGCAACAGGAGAACGGAGCCATTGCGTTTTATTTTAAAAATGAAAAGACTAGTAAGCAGACTCATGATCTTCTCAGCAGCCACCCTGGCACTGGAACAAGCTGTAAAGTTTGCCCTTAGAACAGTCCTCACATCCCCACAGTCAGTTTTGCTGAGTTGCCCGTTTTGTTTGTTTGTTTGTTTGTTTTTTGGCAGTGGGCAGCAGAAGCTCCCAGGTAGCTGAGAAGTTCATGGAATCTTCTTACTGGTACAACCTTCACTATTGATTGTGTTACAGTGCAAGGTAAGGGGGAACAGACATTTTCAAGTACAGTGTTTACCTACACAGCACACTGCAGCTTAACTTCTGAAAGTCAAGAGAAACAGGCTTGAACAATTATTGTAACAAAGAAGTGACATTTCATTTGCTAATAGGATCAAAGCTCTTGTGCTAATAAAATGCTTTAAAAATTAGTGTGTGGTTTTTAGTAATTAGCATATAATTTCAGTTATCAGTTGGTTTATAACAAACATACTAATTAGGTACCCCACTCAGTCATTTATCTAAATGAAAGTTCTGAGAAATTATATTTATGGGCATTGATCAAAGCTTATGGGAAAAAGAGATTAAGATGAAAATCATGGGATTAAGTTTTTAATTAGTTTGTCCCCTGAACAATTGTTTGGTGTGACACAGTGATTGATTTGTACTTATGCCTGCCCAGGGAGGATATGGCTCTACTACCAAACCTCTGAACATAACAGTGTTTCACAGGACTGAATATTTTATCATTATTTTTCTCTTTATTCCTGCTTAACAAGGTATTGAAAAGGAAGGCAGTGTGTGGGATCTCATAGTCCTTTTTCTGGTGATACATATAAAGTATGAGATGGAGGCTTCAGTCTGTCGATTAATAAATATCTCAAACTTAGAATGTCTAAAATAAAACTCTTCGTGTCTCACCGCCAACCTCTTCCTCTCCCAGGTTTCCTTATTTTGACCAGTGGTGCCACCACACACCAGTGTTCTCAAGGCAAAAACTCAGGAACAATCTTGAATTCCTCTTTCTCTCATTCCCCACAGCTTTTCCATCATCAAGTTCTACCAGCTTTTCTTCCAAAACATACCCCAAATCTACCTACCATCTCATCTCTACCCAAGCATCATCATCCTTTACCTGCTTATCTACAACACCCTCTAATCTGGTCTCCTCTTACCCTATCCCTATCACATCATCTTGATTCACTTCATCACAACATCCCTCATTATTGCTTTTTTCTTATATTATTCTTCCTTTATTGACTTTATCTCTCCCTACTAATGTGTAAACTCCATGTAAGTAAAGATCTTGTCTTTCTTGTGTGTAACTGTGTCCCAAGGGCCCAAATAGTCTCCAGTGCATGAATGAAGGAATACATGAATGAGTGGATTCTGGTAGCACCAAGACTATTACCATCTCATCTCAGGTACACTGAAGCAGGAAGGCTGGGAATGTCAGGGTGCCATATACCACAGAGCATGGACCTTAAAACACAAGAGGTAGACAGGACACAGAATAGAGAGGTCAGAGGAGCATTGGGGTGGAAAGCAAGGGGAGAGTAAAGGGAAATGGAAACAGTATAGTGCAACTCTGCAGATACATTCTAGAAATCCTAAAACTTGTGTAAGTACTCACCTGCATACACAGTCCAGCCTGAAGAATAGTGGCTAATGTTTGCTCTACCTGAGTGACAGAACACTTTTCCTGGTGGAGATGCTGAGGCCTTGGTGTCAAAACAGTCTGATTCGGTGGGGCCCACATGTCTGCTGCTGCATAATACTTGTAATCCAGTCTCATTCTTGTCAGGACAGTAAGACTGCAGTCAGTACTAGTAGCTTGGAGAAAGCAGCAGGGCATACTGCGGGGGTTCTGTTAAATCACCCCATGGGGTGAGCCTGAGCAACTTTTCCCTCCATGTGTCCCAGTTCTCCTCAAATATAAAACTAAAGCCTTACTTGAACTCCTGTGTAACTTTGTAACTCAAACTTCATTGAAATTTGGTATGTGGAGTCCCCTCTTCTCTGCGGAGCAAGGGGCCTACTTTTTAGAGATCCTTGAACCTAAGGCTACATCTCTATTTGGTGGTTCCACTTCACTGACATGTTTTGTCTAAAAAGCACTTCACCGTATTATGCTATCTCGTGTTTCTCTTGATAATGATGAGAATGTGAAGGGCAAATTATGCTGCTGTGAACCTGTGGACATGGCTCAGGTTTATTCTCTTACTCTTAAGTTGGATTTGAGGGATGGAGAGGAAAGAAGAAGGTGACTATACCATTGGTCCTTGGGGTTTAAAAAATGGGACAAATTGGTCAATGAAATTCCTGAGATTAGCCTTATCTCTCCCTCCACTGGACATTGTGTCAGTCCTTTTCCCCTTTGAGTCTGCCCTCAATATTTTTTTTTAACATGTATTTTTTTAACTGACCTGTGAACTTTGTTCAGGTCCAGCCCATGGTCTTACACTGTATTTGGTTTCCATGTCTCCTTAGTCTTTCAACCAGTGCACCATAGCGAGGGGTATATAATGCTGGTAGGATTTGTTGCTGGTGATGTTAACCTTGGTCACTTGCCTAAAGCAGGAGTCTGCCAGGTTTTTCAGTGCAAAGTGGAGAATTCCGCTTGTAATTAATATGCATTGGGGGGAGGTGCTGTGAGACTCCCTCGGCATTACTTGTAACCAAATTTTCCTCTTATGCATGTGTTGGGGATGGAGGTGAGGGCAGGCAGTGTGCTGTGTTTGGTGTACATCCCAAGAACAGATGAGAACTTACCATGATTATGCTGCTGTCCAGTCACAGCTGAGAAACCATTGCCATTATCAGAAAGAACTGTGGCTGTATCTTGATATACATAAAGGAAAACTGATTTGGCATATTTCTATTGTGTATGGCAGAGTGTGTATGTTACTAATTGATTAGAGTTCTTTTTATCCATGAGTTAATTCAGCAAATGATTATAATAAAGGCTATCATTTTTCAAGTATCTACAACTTGCCAGATGCTGTATTAGGTTGTACTTCTGTTACCTCAGTTCATAATCACAACACTTTAGGTATTATTGCCCATTTGACAGATGTGGATCCTGAGGCTAAAGGAAGTAGGTTGCTCAAAGGCAAGTTGCAGAAATGGACTTGAACCCAGGCCTGTCTAACTCAAAAGTGTCTACTATTTCCACGGCACCAAGCTTGCTCCCCTTTGTGCCAAGCACTGTGATCAGTGTGGAGGATACAGAAGCATAAGATACAAGTTCAAGAAGAGCTCCTTTTACAGCACAGGAGGCCCTTGGAAGAGGCACAGAAGGCCTGGGGAAGAACCTTTGTTCATGGGGGTCATCCTTCTTTCTAGGTGGCAATTCCTCTGCCTTGTGAATCACTGACCTGGTTTTTCTCAGGTCTTCATTGAGTCAGGTGGATTCGTCAGGATCCAGAAGAGGGAACTGATGTTGATGACATGCTTGCTCTGCTTGCTGCTGGCTATTGTTCATTTCAGCTACCTTGTGAAGTAGGTATATTATCTCCACTTAGCTCTTGAGGAAACCAAGACTCAAAAGGGCTAAGTAACATGCCCAAAGTCACCAGCTAGTAAGTGGCTAAGTGGGAGTTTGATCCCAAATCCAACTAATTCCTAAGGCCTGTGCCTAGTCTTCCAGTCAGGCAGTATAGATTCCAGGGGGTACAGAGTCCAGCATCCTTGCTCCTTGCTGCAGATGGGGCTGTGCACCTATTGTCTTCCCATTTGTAGAAAGGATGATCGTGTTCATGCTGTGGCTGATGGACACTGATAGCAGTTCATCTGTAGCAAGCCTTTTTTTTCTTTTTTCTCAAGCCAAAGGATCTTGCAGCTTTTGCTTTTTTAAACTACCTTCCCCCCACGGTCAATCCATGTCAGCAGAAGGAAGGTGGAAAGAGATGATTCTGAATCATTTGTGACACATAAAATGCTACTGTATAAACAAACATGCTTCCCTAAGAACTATGGCATACGGTAATTCGGGTCACTGCCTGCTGGCTTTTGATGAGAGAGTTCAGCTCCTCCTACAGTCAATGCTTAATGATTAGCCTTTGGTGTACTGCTAATAGTCTATGGTCTTCATGTCTCAGGACATTTGCTGAACTGTCCAGTGAAGGAGGGGAAGAAGAGGTCTGTTATTCTGCCTTTTCCATGTTGACATACTCGTAGATGCTCTCAGATCATTGTTCTTTCTATTCCTTGTTGGCTTTGAAAATGTAAAAGCAAGGTGGGGTAGCTGCATTCAGTGATTGGAAGAAAAGGAAAACTGATGATTAGCAGGCACAGGGATTGGGATGGGCAGATCAGTTGGCAATCTGGTTTATTAAGGTTACTCCATTTTGTCCCTACCATATATGACAGCAGTTCACTGATTATCTTGACTCTGCTCCCATTGTTCTGATAGAGGCAGTGAGAGTATCCAGAAAGTGAGATTGGCAGTAGCTATGAAGAAGAATGGGGTATGAGCAATTAGAATATGTTCTTTTCTTTTTGGACTCCTGCAGACCCTGAGGCAAAGATTCAAGTATAATTTATTCAGGAGGTACAGGAACCAGTGGTAGGGAATTGGAAAAATGAGCTGGAAAGGGGGAAAGGCCAATAAACTATGTATTATCAATCTAGTTGCTACTGTGGGGACTGGAGCTTAATCCCACAAGTGAACCAGGGAACATTAGTGAAAAGGACATATGTCAGAATTAGCCAACATCCCCTATCCCACCCCGGGAAGGGAGCTGGGGTATTTATGCATCAAATTCTGAGTGTCAGTCACTGAGGGCTGCTCCAGTGAAGTGTACTGGGCATACAAAGTGTTTTCGGCAGCTTAAGAGAAAACTCTTACTTAGGCAGAGATGCAAAGTTGGAAAGCAACATGTGCATTGATGTGGTAAGACCTGAGAGCGTAGGCTGAGTACCAATACCATCAGTTATGTCCTCCTAAAATAAAAAATACATCCACTCCTCCCTCAATGTTCCCCATTTCATTAAATAATACCACCATTTACTCAGTTCCTCGTGCCAAAGACCTTGGAATGTCCCTTGACACTTGTTTTTTTGCTCTTGCCTCACATTTGGTCTATTTCCAAAACCTGTGAACTTCATCTTCTAAATATATCTTGAATACTACCACTTCTTTCCATTTTCACCATAATCTTTCAGTGGGTTTCTGCAGTAATTTCCTAGCCTGAATCTTTGTTAATGTTCTTACCTGGAATGGTAGCCAGAGTACTCTTTAAACCTAAATCAGATCACAT